TTTGCGCCAACTCGGCCAATCTCTGCAGCGTGCCATTCTTTTCCGATTCGGCAAGGTGACGCGTGCGCACGCTGCGGCACGTCTTCAGCGCGGTCAGCTTCGCAAATATGATCGCTGAAAACAAACATGATTGGTATAAGGGTGAAGACGGTCTGATGTGAGACGCGCAAATGCAAATAACCTGCTCGACGCTTCTCATCCTCCAGTGAGTTCGCTCCATTGTCCGAGGAACCTATCGTAGTTGCACTGATGTCGTTCGATAACTCTAGCTTCCTTCTCACTCTGCGAATGTTTCGTAGAAGGAAGATCTGCCGCTTCGCGACGATCAGTCGCTCCCGGTGGTTGAGTGGCTTGAGGAGCAACAGTTTCCAATTGCTTCCATCGCTGTTGTCCTATAATATACAGACTTTTATTACGTCTGAATTTTATCTACTTCTGCCTCCAGATATCGCATATTCTCACAGACAGATTGTTACTACTCAACAACCGTCAAAAGTCCAACGTAGGTAATCCGGAATCTCACGACAGCGCACTCTAGGAAACGCATTTTGCGTTCTCCTTATTCAAAAACGGTAAACAGAGTCGTGCGAAGTGCTACCGCCTTCGATATTTATGTTTGAGTTGAATGTTTACGAAAAGGGAAAGCTTTTAACCGTTAGAATTTCGGTATTCCTTGCGTTTCCGTGATAGGAGCATTTGGCACCTTTCTTTTCGCGAAGTTTATGGTGGAGCGGTGAACTCCATTCCAGGAGTGCCTTACTTTTTAAACAATAGTGTGTAGTCTTATGCTTCCTTACCACAGAGGGGTACTCGTTTATAAACCTCGAAAGAAAGAAAGTGACCCCGACCGGGGCTTAAACCCGCGACGTCTCGGTTCTGAGGCCGACACTCTACCGACTAGTGTTTACCTGATCAAACTGACTTTAAACAAGCACGGATAACAACAGAAAGTACAAAAATTAGGCATAACATAAAACTTCACCGGTTAATTCAGAAAAATACAACACGAACGACATCCCTGGCACAGATATGGTAACAGCAGTACAAACTGAATTGCTCTGCATTACTGGTAGCGAATATTAAAAACAAAAGTTTGTTCGACTTCCAAATCTTACAGGATATACGTTACGAGCTAGAGACAGAGCCAAAACGAGTGTCACCGAATGTACAATACATGTACAGTTACGTGCATGCATAGACTGCAACATCTCTGGAACAGTACCACAGTTTTCATATACTTGCACGTTTTGCGGCTTATGCTGCATTATACATTAACGTGTTACATTCAGAAGTTTATCCGTGGATGGCAGTAGTTACAACCTCAACGCGTGGATAGCCTGCTGAAAACATGTACCTCAGTGACAGACTTTCAGAGATTAGGACAGAACAAGGGTA